GAAGAGGGGGGGGGGGGGGGGGGGGCGGTAATCCACTGCTTGTTGCTCTATTATTGTGTGTCAGAGGGAATTCATTAGTGTTAATGAGCAGCATGTGTGTCCTGTTACTATAGAGCAGTCAGTGTTTGTGTAGCTGACATCTGTGTGTGTGTGTGTGTGTGTTCAGACATCATCATGTCGTCTAACGGCGAGTCGGTGAGCTCGAAGGACATTAAGATGTGCATCAGTCAGATCCAGGACCTGATCGTGGTGCAGCTCAATCAGGCCGTGGCTAATAAACTGACCAGCTCAGTGGACTACCTGAGAGAGAGCTTCGTGGGGACACTGGAGAGATGCCTGGGCAGTCTAGAGAAGAACACAGCCGAGTCCTCCAGCAACATCACCTCCAACCACCTCAAACAAGTGCAACACTCACTCACTCGCACACACACACTCACTCGCACACACACACTCACTCACTCGCACTCACACACACACACTCACTCACACACACAGACACACTCTCACACACACTCACTCACACACACAGACACACTCTCACACACACTCACTCACACACACAGACACACTCTCACACACACTCACTCACACACACAGACACACTCTCACACACACTCACTCACACACACAGACACACTCTCACACACACTCACTCACACACACAGACACACTCTCACACACACTCACTCACACACACAGACACACTCTCACACACACTCACTCACACACACAGACACACTCTCACACACACTCACTCACACACACAGACACACTCTCACACACACTCACTCACACACACAGACACACTCTCACACACACTCACTCACACACACAGACACACTCTCACACACACTCACTCACACACACAGACACACTCTCACACACACTCACTCACACACACAGACACACTCTCACACACACTCACTCACACACACAGACACACTCTCACACACACTCACTCACACACACAGACACACTCTCACACACACTCACTCACACACACAGACACACTCTCACACACACTCACTCACACACACAGACACACTCTCACACACACTCACTCACACACACAGACACACTCTCACACACACTCACTCACACACACAGACACACTCTCACACACACTCACTCACACACACAGACACACTCTCACACACACTCACTCACACACACAGACACACTCTCACACACACTCACTCACACACACAGACACACTCTCACACACACTCACTCACACACACAGACACACTCTCACACGCACACACACAGACACACACTCACTCGCACACACACACACACACACACACACACACTAGGGGTTGAATGACTTCTGATTTTTTTGAAGTCGACTTTTATGTGATGAAAGTCGAGTCAAAGCCGACTAGTCATTAATGAACAAGTAAGTCTGGAGCTGTGATAAACAGCTTGTGCACAGCTATGGCAGATGACACAGCGCTGCCCACACGGCTGTTGCTCCTATAACAGCTTTTTATCAGTTCTTTTGTCTTTGGGTCGTTATATTTCTCACAGATTTCTGCAGATTTAGATAAAGCAGCACAGTAAAGATTACATTAATATGAATGCATTAGTGAGAGCGATTGCGTGTGAATTAATTCTACCTGGCAGCGTCTCTCTACTAGTAGTGAAGCTGTGGGATTTAGTTAAGAAATATATGCTTGAACTTTTCAGTTTCTAAGCTATTTTATTGAGAAATCACAGAACAGTGTTGACAATACATTTCCGCACTGAATGATTCTGTACGCGTGATGTGTGTGCGTTACAGTGCAGCAGCGCATTAGAATTGAACAGTGATTAAAGTACACAGACACACAAACACAAACAAACACACACACACACACTCTCTCACACACACACACACACACACACACACTCTCACACACACACTCTCATACACACACTCACACACATACACACACTCACTCACACAGACACTCACTCACACACATACACACACA